ATCCCTAGTCATCCCTAGTCATCCCAGTCATCCCTAGTCATCCCTAGTCATCCCAGTCATCCCTAGTCATCCCTAGTCATCCCAGTCATCCCTAGTCATCCCTAGTCATCCCAGTCATCCCTAGTCATCCCTAGTCATCCCAGTCATCCCTAGTCATCCCTAGTCATCCCAGTCATCCCTAGTCATCCCTAGTCATCCCAGTCATCCCTAGTCATCCCTAGTCATCCCAGTCATCCCTAGTCATCCCTAGTCATCCCAGTCATCCCTAGTCATCCCTAGTCATCCCAGTCATCCCTAGTCATCCCTAGTCATCCCAGTCATCCCTAGTCATCCCTAGTCATCCCTAGTCATCCCAGTCATCCCTAGTCATCCCTAGTCATCCCTAGTCATCCCAGTCATCCCTAGTCATCCCTAGTCATCCCAGTCATCCCTAGTCATCCCTAGTCATCCCAGTCATCAGTTGTCATGTCTTCTCATCCCTAGTCATCCCAGTCATCCATAGTCATCCCTAGTCATCCCAGTCATCCCTAGTCATCCCTAGTCATCCCAGTCATCATTAGTCATCCTTAGTCATCCCAGTCATCCCTAGTCATCCCTAGTCATCCCTAGTCATCCCAGTCATCCTTAGTCCTCGCTAGTCATCCCAGTCATCCCTAGTAATCCCTAGTTATCCCTAGTCATCGTAGTCATCCCTAGTCTTCACTAGTCATCCCAGTCATCCCTTTTTATCCCAGTCATCCCTAGTCATCCCTAGTTATTCTTGTCATCCCTAGTCATCCCTAGTCATTCCAGTCATCCCTAGCCATCCCTAGTCATCCCAGTGATCTCTAGTCACCCTCAGTCATTCCAGTCATCCCTAGTCATCCCTAGTCATCTTAGTCATCCCTACTTATCCCTAGTCATCCCTGGTCATCCTTAGTCATCCCAGTCATCCCTAGTCATCCCTTGTCATCCCAGGCATCCCTGGTCATCCCTAGTGATGCCAGTCATCTTAAGTCATCCCTATTCATCCCAGCCATCCCTAGTCATCCCTAGTCATCCCAGTAATTCCCAGTCATGCCTAGTCATCCCAGTTATCCCTGGTCATCCCTTGTCATCCTTAGTCATCCCTAGGCATCCCTTGTCATACCAGTTATCCCTAGTCATCTCTAGACATGCCAGTCATCCCTAGTCGTCCCTCTTCATCCCAGTCATCCCTAGTCATCCCTAGTTATCCCAGTCATACCTGGTCATCCCTAGTCATCCGAGTTATCCCTTGTCATCCCTTGTCATCCTTAGTCATTCTTAGCGATCCCTAGTCATCCCAGTGATCCCTAGTCATCCCTAGTCATCCCAGTGATCCCTAGTCATCCAGGTCATCCCTTCTCAACCCAGTCATCCATAGTCATCCCTGGTTATCCCAGTCATCCCTAGTCATCCCTAGTCATCCCAGTCATCCCTTATCAACCCTAGTCATCTCTAGTCATTCCAGTTATCCCTGGTCATTCCTTGTCATCCTTCGTCATCCGCAGCGATTCCTAGTCATTGCAGTCATCCCTAGTCATCCCTAGTCATCCTAGTCATCCCTAGTCATCCCTAGTCATCCCTAGTCATCCCTAGTCATTCGTAGTTATCCCAGTCATCTCTAGTGATCCCAGTCATTCCTAGTCATCCCTTGTCATCCCAGTCATCCCTAGCCATCCCTAGTCATCCCAGTCATCCCTAGTCATCCCTAGTCATCCCAGTCATCCTTAGTCATCCCTAGTCATCTCCTGTTATTCCTAGGTATCCCTAGTCATCACTAGTGATTCCAGTCATCCCTTCTCATCCCAGGCATCCCTAGTCATCCCTAGTCATTCCTGTCATCCCTAGTCATCCCTAGTCATTCCAGTCATTCCTAGTCATCCGTAGTCATCCCAGTGATCCCTAGCCATCCCTAGTCATTCCAGTCATCCCTAGTCATCCCTAGTCATCTTAGTCATCCCTAGTCATCCCAAGTCATCCCTAGTCATCCTTAGTCATCCCAGTTATCCCTAGTGATCCAGGTTATCCCAAGTCATCCCTTGTCATCCCAGGAATACCTAGTCATCCCTAGTTATCCCTAGTCTTCCCAGTCATCCCTAGCCATCCCTAGTCATCCCAGTCATCCTTATTCATCCCTTGTCTTCCCTAGTCATCCCTAGTCATCCCCCGTCATTCCTAGGTATCCCTAGTCATCACTAGTCATCACAGTCATCCCTCATCCCTAGTCATCCTTAGTCATCCCAGTTATCCCTGGTGATCCAGGTTATCCCAAGTCATCCCTTGGCATCCCAGGAATACCTAGTCATCCCTAGTTATCCCTAGTCTTCCCAGTCATCCCTAACCATCCCTAGTCATCCCAGTCATCCTTATTCATCCCTTGTCTTCCCTAGTCATCCCTAGTCATCCTCTGTCCTTCCTAGGTATCCCTAGTCATCACTAGTCATCACAGTCATCCCTTTTCATCCCAGTCATCCCTAGTCATCCCTAGTCATCCTTGTCATCCCTAGTCATCCCTAGTCATCCCTAGTCATTCCTAGTCATCCCAGTTATCCCTGGTCATCCCTTGTCATTCTTAGTCATCCCCAGCCGTCTCTAGTCATTTTAGTCATCCCTAGTCATCCCTAGTCATCCCTAGTCATCATAGTCATCTCTTGTCATCCCTAGTTATCCCAGTCATCCCTAGTCATCCCAGTCATCCCTAGTCATCCCTTGTCATCCCTAGTCATCCCTAGTCATCCCAGGCATCCCTAGTCATATCAGACATTCTTGACACCTACATTATTTTGGTTGATTCCCGCCAGTTTCACTTAAACTGTTAAGAACTCTAGAAATGTACATATTTCAATATTTTCCCCGTTTTGGTTTAAATGCTGTATACTAACATAAGCGTTAATTTCCTGTCATAATGCTGTCACTGCTGAACGTCAGGAGCCCATGACGTCGTTTGCCAGACTACAGTATGTCCCTCTGCAACACTCCCCCCCTCCTTCATTTCCCCAGGGGAATAGTGAGCCAGAGGATATACCTGCTAGAGCGGGAGAATCCCCCTTCACGAGGTTCCACTCGTAATGCGTACGCTCGTGTTATCCTTTTTCATGGACTTGTCTCACTCATGTCGTGATTGGGGTGTACAGAAAGGATAAAGGCTCATGTAAGCACGTCTACACTTTGCAGGCCACGGAGTAGCTGTGGAAAAGATATCCTTTGGCCAGAATTTAATACCACCCAGTCATTTTCTTTGCATAAACCTTACATTGTTAAATGGGCCACAATTGTATGTATGGCCTGTTATGGCTGTGGTCGTATCCACTGAATATATGCCCGCTGGTTATGAAAGGGACTTGAAGCTCTAGGCTCCTTTGTATATTCCTCTGGAAGTTAACAAGCAACTTATCACTGTCGTTTTCACTTAGTGCCCATATGCTATCGTCCTTATGACCCCTCCTGGACCAACATATCAGTGAGTTAACAACCCCGCGAAGGCAAATTCCTGCGGGAAACAGGCGGAAAATCATGACAGGACAAGATCACGAACGAAGTAATTTCAGGGACAAGTAGAGAATGGTTAAAGTGGAACTTATGACGGGAATATAGTAATGGTCTGCAGGACAGGCGTTATTTTATTTATTTATTTATTTTCTTTCGCGTTTTTCAGACGAGTGAAGACTGACTTCCCCCGCCGCGCGTGTCTGGCGCTCCTCGCTCGCTTCGCGCTTGCCTTCGCTCTCCTGAAAAATTGCCTCAGGTTCTGCAGGTTACAGGTAGCCGGACAACGCCTTCAATAGTTCGTGTGTCGTGGGATCAACCTGCGCTTAGACAGCGTGCCTTCCTCTGGCTATTGACGTTGTTAGTATTGGTAAAGGACCATAAAGCACGTGGTAGACCTAGAAAGAGCATGAGCCTAGAGGTGCACAAGATGAGGGTTTTATTTGTGACTCATAAAGGCCTCATTTATTTGACATGGTCATAGTTTGCTTATTTGCAGTCTCGATTTACTTGTTCTTTCAAAAGAGGGTTGACCGCATGCATGCGAGCGATTAGCAGTGTAATTACCTTTAATTGAACACCGTTATGTCTTCGTACCAAGGACTGGGGTGGGGTTTGTGTGGACGATTCGCCTTTGTATCAAATTTGACGTTAATCTTTTCTAAACACTGTTTAAAATGACCGAAAGATCTTGGCTCAAAAATTGAATTTGTTCTACAATAAAAACTTCACATTCCCCAGTCACATAGGTATGGTCTATTTTAATTCGCGCTCCTTGCTGTTAATATATATTGATAATAAAACAACTGATGCCTGCGTTTCAATTTAATTTTTGCCAACTTTTCGGTGTGTACTTGTAAATTCTACCGAGGAGATGTGTGATATTAGATTTTCATTTGGTATTTAAAAAAGCTTTGTTTATTCGTCACAAATAAATAAAGCGAATAAACATTCATTCGCGTTAATAAAATTATAGTTGTATTGAACTGGCGAACGGAAATTAACCCAAGCCATTACGAGGTTCATCGAAATAACTTTCGTCCGGCGGAGCGGATCCTGTGAGACAATCATACCTTTTTAAATTTAAATTGCTATTGTATTCTGCAGATGTTATTTTTCTCCAAGGTTTTACATTAAGATCTGTGTATTTAGTGCTTAGATAGAATTTGCATTCGTCGACGACTTTGGTCTAGTATGTAAACGAACTAGAACTCTAAGTTTGTTTTATCTTTTTATTCATAATTTTTACTGTTTTGGTATCTAAGAAACGCACTCTGGACTAGTAAACAGGAAAAAAAACTAAATGCTTAAGTCTTTTAACTTATATCATTGAAGAGCATTTCATGGAGATAATTCCCTTTTTATATAATTTTTCTTTCCCTCATGTCACAATTATTAAAATCAGTCACTTTTCATTAAAAGGGTTTTATGTGAGTCAGCTTTTAAACCGTTCCTTGGCAACAACATGAATGATAATTTCAAAGTACCCCATGTGAGAGGTTTAAATTAAAATTACCGATAGCGTTTTGTACATACATCGCTTATAAAGATCAAGGAAAATTGAGTACGGAACGCAAAATCGTACAATTCGGCTGATTTTTTGACGTGGACATCGCTCATATTTCGCATTTTAGCGGGTAGTTCAGTTTCAGGCCCCCGGTCTTTGTCGAATCGCGGGCATTGGTTCGAAAATTGACAGGATCCGCAAGAAAGTTTGCTTAGTGACAGTTCGTGCAAAGACTGTCCAATATCTAAGAGGCAAGTTTATTAGAGACTGTGCGTTCAGTGCCGGCCCGAACATCTGTAAATCGAGATGTTTTATTGATCGCTTGGCTTGCTGATTTCTAATAATTTAAGGTGTCCGTTTCGCGTTCTTCGCTTGGAATGTTTACGCGCGTTCCGTATTCCCGCCAAACGCGTGTGCAGCAAACATGGGCCTCCATTTTGAGTAACTTCCTTGCAACGAGCAATGACCGCTGTCAGAGCAATGTTTATGAGTCTTTTCCACGCTTCCATTGTCTGTCATAATGGAGGCTATCTTAGCAACGGACTGGAAAGAAATCGCGTAGTACTAAGTGAAGATTAACCAAGATATTTGAAACGAACGAAACCAAAACATGGGCTGTAATGCATCAGTCGAAGACGGAGAGGAAAACCCTCAAAGTTCGGCTCTTGGAAAGTCCGAAAAAGGTGAGTTAAGTTTGCAGAGAATATGTTCTTATCAGTTGCAATTATAAACAAATTTCGAGCGATATAAGCCAGCTGACGAGCTAACTTGGCCCGATTTCAATACTCAATTTCATGAATTCGCTCATTTGTTTTCCTTTATTACGTACTCGTTTTGAATCGTCCATAAAATTGATACAGTAAAAGATTAAAACAGCATTATCTACAAGCAATATTTGAAAACCCCAAGTTGAAGAGGATTAAGGAAGTTTTCTTAATTCACATGTTTTATTTGCATAGATACTCTTGTCGATTCATGCTTTTTTCTACGTAAGTCTCGTTTGTTTTACAGCCATACGGTCAGCAATTTTAATACAAAACTGGTTCAGACGGTACCAAGCTCGTCTTGAAGCTCGACGGAGATGCACTTGGAAAATCTTTCAAAGCGTTGAATACGCTGGGGAACAGGATCAATTGAAGGTGACACTTATCTTTTAAATTATATTGTCATCTTTGTTCTACTCCAATAATTACTTTCCACTTCGAGAAAATATTGTTTTCCTTCATCGTGAGTATAACACTCTAAAATCTGTATTGTTTTTGAATGAAATCGACATTTCCCGCTTTAAATTTTTTAATTTCTAATTCATGGCTTCGGCGTCGAATCTCGTCAAATCCACCAATTTAATCCGTAGTCTTTCTGTTTTGAGGTGCAAATTCGCTGGCTTCAATAATATTAAAACGCTGTCATGCGAAAGTGTAAAATTCGATTAACAGCTTTCAGGTTCCAGCTTTCTATACATGTTAATAAAACATAGTTAGTAAACTTTATTTCGTGCTCATATTGAAATCCCATTTGGGCTAGTTTATATAAACTAAACACTTAAAAAACTCAAATATATTAATATTTTCTGTTAACCAACTCAATTTATTATTTTGTTTTTAAACTATGGTAGCGAGTTTTCTATTAATAAGCTCAAGTCTTATAACTTGTCTGTTTATAGTTTTAAATAATTATTGTTGTCTGTTTTGACCATATGGGGGGTACAAATTACCATAATACTGCAATAAGTTTGGTAAAATTCACAAAATTTTGGCAGATTTAATGTTTCCTAAATAACTCAAAATAAGTTAAAAATTAGGGTTGGTGATTATAAAGACGAAAACAGATTGAAGGCTATAGACCAGCCATTCATACATTTCTATCAGTCTCCCAAAATGCTCTAATTTCCTGTGTTATTAGTTATTTATGAAGTCGCTGCCATGTCTAGCTTGACAGGTGCTTGGTTTTATATTTATATTAATGTCAACGTAATTATTATTTTACCAATAAAAGTATAGGATTTTCATGCAGGTTTTCTATGACAACATAGAATAATAAATAATAAATTTTAATAATAAATTTTAAAGTTGCCTCTTTTATTTCAATATACCCTGAAAAAATTATTTCATAAAACCATGAGGAATTTACAAGAATGTACTGGTATATTATAAACTGCATCTGCATATACACTGGGAAGGTTTGAACCCAGGAATCATTGTATAAGTAGGTTGAGCATCGTCCAGGTGAACGTATAGTTCTGAATGGGACTGTTGTTGACATTGACTGACGTCAACATCAACTGATATGATACAACTAGTTGTCACTTTGACTCTGGAGATGACTACCGCACTGAGGTTGTCAAAACGTCAGTCACCGTCAACAACAGTCCTATTCACGACTACATGTACGTTCACCCGGACGATCATGCTGAACCTACTCATGCATAAACACTCTTAATCCAAAAAAACTATATCCCAACATCAGCATTCAGCAATCACATCTGATTAGTGATTATATGAAAACCTGCCCTGAGTATTCAGTGTAATAATGATGTTGAGTGAAATTAGGAGTTATTTCATGTAAGTTATTACATTTACTGCCCTCAAAAAGTCTAAAAAAGGGAATGCAATATGCTTGAAATTATTCTAGTACAAGGTTTTTGTCCACTGAAAATTAAGATTGCTCATCTTAATGGATTCTGTCCTAACATGATTCGTGCATGGAAATATGTATAGAAAAAGAAAGAGTTTTAAAATTTATTTCTAAATTGATTCTTTCAGTATTACCGGCATGAGTCTTGAGTTCTCTAATATAACTGTTAATAGCTGCTTCCTAGAAAAACTTGGA